CCTAACCCTAACCCTAACCCTAACCCTAACCCTAACCCTAACCCTAACCCTAACCCTAACCCTAACCCTAACCCTAACCCTAACCCTAACCCTAACCCTAACCCTAACCCTAACCCTAACCCTAACCCTAACCCTAACCCTAACCCTAACCCTAACCCTAACCCGCACACACGTGCGCTCAGCCATACAAATTGTCGCCATGGCAGATGGTGGCCGCCCAACGCTCCGGTAAAACACGCCCAGCGCTCATGCAAATAACGAAAGATATGCTCAAACACGCCGCACAACGGCAATAAGTCCATGCTGAAAAGACGCGGCCTTTCACAGCAGTTGTGGCTCACTGTGTGCGTAAACTGCGAGACGGCCTCCATACAACAAACGCACACACCGCCAACAGTCACCCAACATGGACGAGAGGAGACACACCGCCACCGCCTCCAGTTCAATCCCACAGCCAACGGGATACGGCCACAGCCCGCAGCCGGCACACAACGCACACCAAGCAAGCAATCACCCAAAGAGCCACGCGCAGAAGCGATTCCTCACCCAGACATGACGCGGCAACAAAATTTCCAGCAATTACACCCACAATGGGATTTGGTGCCCGACTGAAAGCGGTCATAGGTGGTGCATCACGCCTGCAGGAAAAGTGACACGCCGTGCGCTCCCTCTCTCCTCCCCTCGCTTCATGCCCACAGAAGGAGGCGGCAGCCACCCGCACGCACTAAAAAAGAATCATCCAAATCCACTGCAATGTGTATTTTGTGTGGTTGTGTGTGTGTGTGCCTGCAGACACACGAAGCAAAGAAGTAAAAGCAGGAGCAGAGCATGTGAAGAGACGCACAAACAAAAAATGTACAGCAGAGGTGCATGGCAGAAATAACAGGACTGCTCAGACTCATGATATTGCACTTCAGGCCAAGCAGCGGCAATTCATACAAGATTTATTTAAAATAATTAGAAAAAACAATTCCCTTTCATCATATATTAATCCCCCCTCGCACAAAATAATTATATAAAAAAGAAAAAAGTCGTCCTCTATTACGGCTACACACAAATAATAAAAAAGGAAAAATGAAAATGAAAATGAAAAAACAAACAAAAAAAAAATTCACCTTCTTACCGTGTGCGCACAACAACCTGTTTATATTTCGTCCGCAAATTAAAAATTGAATAGTTACATTTCTTTCAACCGTCTGACTCTCCGTGTGTCCGCACATCGTTTATATTTGATGGGGCCATCTGCGTGTTGGTACTCCCCTCAGCCCTCTCATCGGCGCGTGAGTGCGGCCCGCAAAGCACAGTCACTCGTGTGTGGGGACTGGGAGAAGCACGCAGACACGACGGCAGTCGCGTCAATCCATCGGGAGAGTGAGCGCGGCAAAACAAAAAAAAATCATCAGAGGGGAGAGAAATGCTCACGAGGCCGACACCTAAGGGACTTCCGGCGCGTAAAATCCACACGCAAAGCAAAAAAAGAAAAACACGGCGGCAGGGTGTGGCTGTGTGTGTGGCGCTGCGGGTGTCTGCCCGCCCTGACCGCAAAAAAAAAAAACGGGAGGGAAAGAAATGTGTGCTCCGCCCCACAGGCACTCGTCGCGGCCCCTCCTCATGCGTGCAGCAGGCGAGGCGCACAGGGCCGTCGTCATGAGCGTGTCGGTGGGTGTGCGAGTGGAGCAGTTGGGCGGGAAACACACGGCACCCCTCGCAGGAAGAGTGCAGAAGAAACAATTAAAAAGAGGGAAGAGTAGAAAAGAAAAAAAGTCCATGGTGGTTTCCCTAAATCATCAACCAAAAGAGAAGAAAAGTAATTTAAAAAATTTTTATTCTCCACGGAGTTCAATTTGTCCCTAGCGGTGTGTGTGTGTCCTGCAGAGGAGAGCGCAAGTGTTCCACACTGAGGCCGCACACTCCTCACGCAGTCGCAAAGCCCCACAGTCCCAGCAGAAGCAGCAGCGGCAGCAGCACCCTCCCGTACGCGGAACCAGCATCACCATTTGCCCCACCATCACCCTTTTCTCGTGCCGTCCCTTCATTCCCAGCAGAAGTCAAGCGTTCCGCTGGCGCATGTTGGGTATTGGCGGTTCTCCCCACAGTTGTCCTCCCCGGTGCTGCTGGTACTTCCCGTGGGCCAGGCACCGCAGGTGCAGCAGGTGCGACAGGTTTGGGAGCAATTTTCACTTGTGGTTCTGGAGCTCTCGTCGGAACGGGGATCCTGTCCTTGATTGCGGTCATCTCAGTGGGATTCAGTGGGCGGTTGTACAGAAAGACGTTCTTCACCGTCACCTTAGTTTTCTGGCCGGCATCCTCACCGCACGCGCCAAAGCAAAACTCTAGGGTCTCAAGTGGCGCCTCACCCGTTAACAGCGCTTCATCTTCCCCCAGCGACTTGCCATCAATGTACACAGAAGCCTTTTTGCCTTGCAGCATAAGCGCCACCTGGTATCCCTTCTTCGGCTCCCAACTGCCGTTCTGTGTTGTTGTCTTGTCGTTGAACATCGTCACCCACTTTTTATCCGCGGTATACAAGATTCCCATGGTATGATTGGAATTAGTGTCCGCCAACGTCGCAGTCAGTAGAGGAGTGTTTCCACTCGGAGTTTCTTCGATGGTCACCGACGCCACAAGTGTGAAGTTGTGGCTCAAGGATACATGACGCACATTATTAACCCGAGTGTTTACGGACCATGATACCCTGGAGTCAGGCTCCGTCAATTGAAATCCATATCTGACCTTCTTTGCGTTCGTCACCGTCGCATTCAGGCAAAGGTACTCGTCGTTCCACCTCCCATCACCGGCCGCATCAGACAAAACTGCCACCAGACCCGCCGTTGGTATAGACAAGTTGGAGAAGAAGGCGTCCTTTTGCGACCAAGTACTGAGGACGGACTTGATCGTCTTCAGCTCCTCCGTCAGGCGGGAAAGTGAAATGGCACTGCCTTTATCGCTGTCCCTCTGTTGTAAAAGATGCAAATTGCCATCCGAGTACAGCAGTGCGTTTTCGAGCGTCTCACCCATAGCATTGTCAATGCCAACCGGTCCAACAGAAAACGTGCGGTTGTTGTCCGTGACCCAAAGGTAGAGTGCATTGGCCCTTTCCTTCTCCAAGGCGTACCCTCTCTGAGTGTACAGCATGACCTTCCTTCCCTCAATGGTTGCGGTGATGAGGGCATCCACGTGCAAACTTTTGTCCCAGGGAGCTCCTGATTTTGACTTGGTCCACACGCCTGGGAGTGTTCTGACAGCCTCCGTCCACGTTGTCCCCATATCACGCGACTCGTACACCCTCTGGCCTTCAAAACATTCAGCAATCATGAGAATCTGTCCCGTCTCCCATTCGGTGATGCGAGGATTAAGGCATTCTACAGGAGAAATGCTCTCTGGGAACACCCAGTTGTTGCCATTGTCCGTCAAATAAGTGATCATGGAGAAAGGGTGATTTTTCCCATTCGCCACCACCAGGGGAAACACAAGCGTGCCATTCTGCAACACAATGCCTGAGCCACCAGCAGTCAAAAGTTCCCTCAATTCATATTTAGTGTGTTTGGGGATCTGTTGTGAAAGCGACCTGGGTTCAGCCCAGTTGATCAGTGTACTCTGCACGCCGTCCGTGGACTGCGTGACCATACCCTCAACCAGTTGAATGTCCCAGTCACCTTTCTCCCAAATAACATCATAACTGTCATATCCTACAGTATCGCTTCTCACAAGTACAAACACCTTACTGTCCCTCGCAACTGCTGTGGGCCGGTGCAAAACGCGCAAACGATTATTGCCA